ATGGGTGGTTAGGCTGGATTCATGTCCGAGTGTGATGGATGAATCGATGATTGCTTCGGTTGGATTCATGTCCGAGTGTGATGGACGAATCGATGGTTACTGTATCCGAGTGTGATGGATCAGTGATGGTGACTTGGTCACATGTTGGTACCACATGCATTGTGTCTGCATTTATGTTTGCATGGAATTGTAACATGTTAGGATGTCTTCCAGTGTTACAATTCTTTGGTTGATTCTTGAATTGTGCATGATGACTTGTATGATTATAACTGTGTGTTGAATCTGAATTTATGCTAAAATGGGTGAATAATATGCTTGTGATATAATGTTGATTGAGAAACTTATAATGCATGTTAATTATGAGAAATCTCACCCTTACTTTAATGATTTCAGATTAAAGTTAGCAGCTCAGGAGTTGGTGAGGATGGCTCTAGAGCCATGTTATTTTAAGTCTGCGTGTCAGTGTCGTGCTCTAATAGGTTGTAACACTGGGGGAAACGTTTGAATGATGAGTTTTGTTTTATACTCTATTGTTTAAATTATGTTGGGAATACTTATGAAGTGAAGTTATTCCGGTTTTGAGATATTTCCGCTGTGTAAAACATGATGTTGATTCGAATATTTATTTTAATAATTCCTTGAGTAAAGCATGACAACTGTAAATTTGAGGTTTTATATTTATCTTGAGTTGTGACATCCCTGTATTTCATGTTACTCTGATTTAATTAATATATTCGCGGGTTATTTAGAAGGGGTGTTACATTATCCATCAAACACAGGAGGTTTGGTGCAGTTTTTGTTGTTTTGTTCAATTGCCATGGTGTTTTCCTTCTGGATCTTTTTCTGACATTGTTAGGTGTTTGCACCCAGAACTAGAGCTCTGATGCCAATTGAAGGGTGAGAAAACACTTAGAAGGGGGGTTGAATAAGTTTTTCCTTTTTCTCGCGCAATAATAATGGAAGGACACAAGGACTTTTATCCTGGTTCGTTTGAAACTCAAACTACTCCAGTCCACCCGCCAAGGTGATTTCGCCTCTCTCAACGAGGACTTAATCCACTATAACCAAACTGATTACAAATGCACAACCAAACTATTGTGACTAACAATACAATGCACAAGTCAACTACAAGTGACTAACACCTCTAAGACTCAACTAGTCCTAGCCCTCTTGAGAAATCTGACCCAACTGGTCTCTCAAGGAACAATTACAAAGATTATCTCCTAATAGTAGTGAATCATAATGCTTCTAATAAGCTATATCATAAACTGTGATTTATCACTAAGATTTTAGCTCAGTACTTAAGAATTACCCACTATATACAATAATGAGTTTACAAGAATGAAAATAGTGAGGTTCAATATATTTTTCGTGGATCAGTAACCTTGCTTTGAAACAAATGGTCTTCTATATATAGCTTCCAGTCTTGATTGTTACTGACTTGAAGAGAGTGTATGCATTAATGATGCATGTTATCTTTTTCTTTATGTTTCCAATGCTCTCGTGCGTAGTACCACTTGAGTGTGTTAGCCGTCTTAGCATTAAATGATCAACGGTACTATCAGAGCTTGTCTCTGGAAGTTTAAGAGTTTTCTTGCAGCGTTGCTACTTCAGAGTTTTCTTTAACTTTCCTTCTATCAGAGTTTTCTTCATTTTATGTTCATCAGAGTTTGCTTCAGCTTGCATTATTAGATGTTGCTTTCAGCGTGCTTCTTTCAAATCTTTGCTTCAGCGAGCTTTATCAGAGGTTGCTTAAGATTGCTTTTCATCAGAGTTTGCCTTGGAGTGCTTCCTTCATAGTTTGCTTTAGACTTGCGTAGAATGATGTTTCTCTTTTGAGAATGTTTGAGTCAGAACATCATCTGAATTAGAAAACATGCACATCAGAGTATAAAATATATTATACAAAATTTATTTCATTGTTATCATCAAAACTCTAAGATATGATTAGAACCAAACTTTGTTCTAACACTTGTTTCACTGGCTTCCTGTCAGGTTTGATCGGTGGCTTTAGCTCTACTTAATCTAGATTAAGTACATGCATCTCATTTTAATCTCAAGTGAAGCAATCCTTGAACTCTTTCAGCACTTTGACTACTTCTTCTTTGAGATGTGAGGCGAATTTGGAATTGATATAAGTCGGTCGTTATGTCGACCCATCTCCTAAATCAACCTCTTTCAAAGGACCATGCACTTGAGTTTTCCTGATCAAGACTGTTGAGTCTTTTTTGAACCCCAAAGGCTCATCATCATAAATGTAATCTAGCCTCTAGCTTTCTAAAGTTGTTGTTTGTTCGGTATAGCCAGATTGATTTATTTGAGCATTCTCAACTCCACTGGCTTCAATAGCCATTATTTATAGAGACTTGGCCTATAGAGCCACTAGTGTTATGTTTTAAGCCACATATGTTGAAATCTGAGCTAACGCGCTTAACTCAATCATTATCTTCCTCAGATTCGGACCATTGGTTATAAACTCCGATTGTCTCATACTCCCATGTAAGCCCACATTGAGGATGGAGATTTACCTAATAGTACACATCGTGTCCTTCGAAGTTAAAACCTTCTCCTGTAGGCCCACATGGAAGAATGTTTTCCAATTTTTGGTTAAAGTTTTCTCTATTAATATGGTTTACATTTGCTTTGTAAAAACTTTGATCCTCATCAATATGCTTGACAATGTCGTCAGGCTTCCAGATGTTAATTCTTTGGTGCATGGATGAAGGGACACACCGTGACTCATGCAACCATTCTCTACCTAACAGTAGGTTTTAGTTCAGCTTTGTAGGCACTATGATAAATATCTTTGATCTTGTTATGATCCCTACGATCATATCGACTTGAATGATTCCTAAAGGTTTGCTAGTATTTTATTCATGATTGGACAACACCATATTATTACAGGCCATATCAGTACTATCTTTTCCCATTTTACCCAAGAGGGATTGGGGCATAATGTTCACACACACTCCATAGTCAATAAGAACCTTGTTAATTCCTACGCCATTTACCTTTGCCCTGATGTACAAATTAGGGGTGTTCGCGAGCCAGTTTGGTTCGGTTTTGAGAGAATCTAGTATCCGAACCAATTAAAATTATATGGATTAGTTTGGATTTGAAAATTTTTGGGATAAAGCCCAAACTGAATCGAACCGAGAAACAACGGGTTAGTTTGGGTTGGATTGATCGGGTAGATAAAAAATGCAAAAAATATTTGAAAAAATACCTTATTTACGAAAATTAATTTTTCATAATAATATAAAAAAATGTAGTATTAATAATCTTTAATCGTAAATATTAGACTAGTAATTTTCCCTAATAGATTCTAAAATATCTAACAAGAAAAATATAAAACATCAAGGCTTTTGAATCTATAATTAGTCACTTGAGTTAGTATGATAATGAATGTGTTTTATAGCTCTACGCTTAGTTATCATAATACACTAACAATTTTCTAATAACAAATTAAAATAAAATAACTTGTCCACATACGACATTTCACTTTTTTCTTCTTGAACTTTAATGATTGATAGTAATTTTCATGATAATTAATTATGATTGGTTCAGGTTGGTTTGCGGGTAAAAATTTGAAAATCCGATGCCCAGACCAAATGTCAATGGATTTCATTGGTTTGGTTTAATTCTTGCTCAAACTGAAAAAATATCCAACCCAAACACTATGATTTGGCTCCGATTCTAGTTTGGTTTGGATTTACCCGAACCAATGAAAAAATTGTAACATTAGACCAACAGAGTCACAACTCAATGCAAAAAAGCTCCAGACTCTCAATTTCTTAGATAAACACTCGATATTTCGTTTGTAATATATTTGAACTCTATTAATGTTTCACTATTGTTGAATTTGTTATTTGCTGAACTCTATTAAGGCAGGGAGATCAGTTATCTCCTTTTCTCTTTGTGATCATCGTTGAAGGATTGATAGGTCTTGTGAAGAAGGCGATGGAGATTGGAGAATTCAGAGGATTTAATATTCATGAGGGTTTCAATGTTGGCATTCTTTAATTTTCTCATGAGACTTTGATCATAGGAGAAGGGAGTTGGAGAAATGTGTGGGCTAATAAAGCATTGTTAAGAGGTTTCAAGTTGGTATCTGGTTTAGGTGTTAACTTTCACAAGAGAAGAATCATCGAGGTCAATTTAAATACTCATTTTCTAACAACTTTAACAAATTTTTTAAACTGGAAGGTAAAAGACAAAGCTTTTACTTTCTTGAGCATTCCTATAGGCTCAAACCCAAGAAGAGTGAAGATATGGTTCCCCCTATTAGAAAATATTAAAATCAGGTTGGCAAATCGGAAAGGGAGATTGCTCTCCATGGGTGGTATAATCACGCTTTTAAAATCAGTTATGAGCAATATTTCCATTTTTCTCCTCTAGTTTTATAAGGCACCGATGAATATTCGGAGAGAGATACAGAAGATTCAACGGATTTTTTTATGGGGATATCCAAAGGGTAAAAGGAAAATTCATTGAGTATGGTGGAATCAAGTGTGCAAACCTCTTAATCAAGGGGGGGGGGGGGGGTGAAGAGTATAGAAGGATTTAACCTTGCTTTACTTTTCAAATGGCGTTGGAGGATCTTGGAGGATAAAGGGTCGATTTGGTTGGATTTATTAAAGGCCAAGTATGGGAACCCTACTATCCAAGCCTTTTATGGTGTCTCTAACTATACCACTAGAATTGAATCAACCTTATGAAAAGATTTAGTTTCGCTTGACAAAAGATTGAACAACTCTATTTTTAATTTCACATGTAAAATTCAATTCAACATTGGTAATGGAAAACACACTTCTTTCTGGCTGGAAAAATGGTATGGCAACAACAGTTTGAAGCTTTCTTTTCCGGATTTATATCAGGCTAGTATCAAGCAGGAGGACATGGTTTTTAGCATTGGATACTTAAGTGATAATGTTTGGCCCTGGGGAGATTTCAGAATAGCTAGACCAGTGGCATAGTTGTTGTAAAACTCTCTGCAGAAGATGATCTCTCTTTTGAAAATTTTGTCTCATAAATCGGATTATCCCGATGTTGTCGAATCGATACCAGATGGGTTGGAAGGATACACTGTGCAATCGAGTTTCAAGTTAATTTTTGCTGACAGAAGGTTTAAAGAGCTTAAAGAGGGGTCAGAAGCAGCTTTCAACATCTTGTGGAAGACTCAAGTTTCATTCAAAGTAAAAGCTCTAGGGTGGAGAATTTTTATTAACATGATCGCTACTAAAGATCAACTAAGGAAGAGAGGTATTATTAACTCAGACCATGACCTCGATTGTGTTCTCTGTTTTTAAAATGAGGAACATTTGAATCACCTATTCTTTGACTGTCAAATAGTTAAAAAATTTGGTTGGAAATAGAGTTTTGGTTGGGCATCACTGCAGGGAACGAGGGGTCGACTTGGAAGAGATCTTTAAATTGGACTAGTATTTTGAAGAAGAAGAAAATTAAAGATGGGAAGGAAGGAATAATGTGGTATAATGTGGTTGGTAGTTATCAGGTGTGTGTGTGTGGAAACTCAGAAATGATGTCTTGTTCAAAGATTCGTTTTGTAATGTTTCAGATTTGATTTGGTCTATAAAACTGACGTCGTGGAGAAGATCTTTTATAGGTGATATTTCTTATTTCAACTGTAATTTTTTCGAGTTTAATATAAGGCTCTGCTTTGTTGTTATGTATAAATTGTTGTTGGTTGGAAATTTCTTCTTATTCTAATTTTATCCGGGTTTTGTAATCAAATAAGAGCACCCCTAATCCTCTTTTCAATTAGTCGTTGCTTAGAAAATATTTCATTATTGTATCTACAACTCATTATGAGTTAATTTTCTTTTAGTTAGGATGTGTTAATTTGTAATGACTACTTTACTTTAAGTTACATTTTATGGATATTTAGTAATTTTGATCTCTCACACATTTATTGTCTTTTTATTTTATTATTTATTTGAATGTGTATTTTTATATGCGTGTTCGATCAAATGATTCACTATTGAACTTCATGCTCAAATTGTTCTCAATCAAATTTTGATTTTTTAGGATCCATTTTAAAAATAAAAATAAAAACTAAAACTCTAAATTTTATAGATAAAGAAAAAACTATATCATATCTGATACACTCTTGAAAAAAATTGTCTCTAATAAAGAGAAACTATAAAATAAAATTTTAAAAAAAATTAATAAATTGTTGGACTTTTTTTTTACTTAAATGCCATTATTTTAAAAGAAATATCAATATGTCACACTTTGGAGAAAAAAAATCTAGAATGTCATGCTTTTAAAACAAGTTTGATCATCTATTAGTCGAGTCAATTTCTTTCATTTCTTAAGTCAGATCTCCTATTATCCAATTTAATAAGTCATATTATTATTTAAATTTTAAAAAATTATTTAAAATTATACTTTTTTGAACTCAAGTACCCTCTTAAACGATTCAATAAGTTTTTCGGCTAATAGATGACCGAACATATACATAAAAATATTTATTTTTATTAATTCATCTAATGGATAACCGAATTTATTATTCTAAAAGTGTAACATTCTAATTTATTTTTTAAATGTGACATATTAATTTATTTATTTTTCAAAATAGTGACATTTGAATAAAAAAATCCAAAATTGTTGAGTGGTGGATAGAATATTAGAAAACCTTAACTTTCTGAATTAAGAGTTAAAGTATAATGTTAAGTCAACTTCAAAAGGTATATATATATCTCACCTTACCATCTCAACAACGTGAATCTAAAACAATCATTTGAATAGCAATTATAGTATCTAAAAGCAATGAAAAGATGGTATACCAAATTGTACAATGTCACCACTCAATGAATAACTTTTCAAATTTGTCAAAAAGAAACAACCTAAATAAACAACTTAACAAAAGATAAACGACAAATCCTAATTATTGATGGATCCGTAAACAATCAATGACAAAACACAAATATTAATAATGATAACAATCATAATTAGGTAAAAAGGCTTCATTGTCATTTCCATTTTCTCTCATCTACACAATTACTACCCAAACAGATTTTTCTTATAAAGTATACAAATTGTTGATAGCTTTCCTCTCTTTTCCTCTTATGTCTCCCATACAATGTTACATTCTCTCTTTTGGAAGTTACATCATCTTGGAAACATGGAATGTAACATTTTAATCTACAAATATTCTCAAATTCACTCTTCTTTTTTTGAGACTTGGAATGACATTTTCTGTTGGTGAAATAACTAGTTAGTAGTGACACTTTTCAAATAAAATATTAATTAAAAAAAATCTTCCTCCTTGTGATAATAGAATACTCCACTTGTGATTTCCATGCATGTTTACTATCTTCCAACTCCAAACTATGAATATGTATTTTTTTTTACAAACCAAGGAGTATGTAGTAGAGTAGAGTAATTGGAAGAGCTATCAACATCCCAAAAATAACCCTGCAATTCAATTGATTAAAAACAATTAGTCAATTTCATTTGAATTAAACATGATTTATAAGCTTAACATGAAAATGTGATTAAAAAGTAAATAAGGTTTAATTCCTTACGCTGTACTAAGAATAGCCGGATGAACATTGTACTCTTTCGCAAACACAAATGGAACAATCCCTTGCGGAAGTGCAGCCTATTTTCAACCGAAACAATAATTAATTACTGCAAGTTAACAATCTCATGATTTTCATGTATGAGTTCGAAATCAAAACTATTAAAAAATAATCATTTTAATCAAAATTCGTTAATCCTTTGAAAAATAACAAAAATGGATGATCAACCTGAACAATGGCTACATGAAGGAGGGTACCACGGAGGCCGACCGCAATAGAAGCAGCTGCCATAACTGCTGGACCAGTAAGGAATCTAATAGCCATGGCAAATGAGGCAACAGAATTTCCACATGCAATTATCTTGGGTTGAAGAGCCATAAACAAACCTAAATCAAATAAAAAAAATATCACCAAATCAAACATCGTAAGATTCATCGTCAAACAATATATGATTTGAATATATATTTATAAATTAAAATTCTTCTTTTCTTACGAATTAATATAACATAGATGAACTAAATCTAATCTACATTAAAATTTTAAAATAGTATGAGAGTATCGTTATCAAACCAGCTACCACTGATAATAACATTACTTAAAAGACATTGATAGTGAGACAGGGTGTAATATATTTGAAATGAGAGAACAAAATAGTTTGAAAAGAAAAGAAAAGATATACGTGTTGATGATTCTATTATTTCAACCACTATGGTTAATTAGGGTGGCAGTCACCACCAACATTGTCAATTGTGTCTGAAGAACAAGGTAACTTAGTTTGAGATTGGGTCCCATATGTCGGAGACAAACATCACCAATATAATGGATGGTTTACATGCTTTGCCCCCAAATCCATGCTTCATACCTACTCACCCATATTCAATCATGTGCCATTGCTCTATTCTTTTTACTTTATTATTATAGCCTCCAGACATATTTATAAATAATAAAAATAATTTTTACAGTTATTAAGAAATTCACTCAAATGTGACTAATTTTTTATATTTTAATAAAAATATTAATTAAATTTACGATAATATCTTCTTTATTAAATTTAATAGAATATTGGAAAATAAAATAAAAGAGTATATAAAAAATTATAATATTAAATAATTTAATAATAATTAATTTTTATTTATAATAGTGATAAAAACAAAAATATTTTTGTTGTTTATAAATATATGCTGACGGATATACTTTTTTGTATTTAGAATTATCAACCTATAAAGTTTCCAAAAAGATGTCACATTTTATAATTATCAACTAAATTAATGATGATTATAGAATTAAAAAAAATAAATTGTTAGATAGTTTGGATAAATGAATTTTGTATCACTCACCTAAGCTAAACATAGCCATTCCAAGACCAGCATCAGACAGTATGGAAATTGATTTCTCTACTATTTTAGGCATATGAACACCCCACCTGTAAATAACAAATAAAAATAATTGTAACTAATTTATAATAATAATAATAATAATAATAATAATAATAATAATAATAATAATAATAATAATAAAAGAGAAGAGAGAAAAAAATGTTTTTTAAAATTTGCTATTTGAATTTACAGACGGTTGATAAATTAACTGTTAAATTATTCGAACCAAACATACCTAAATGCAACAAGAGACCAAACGAGGCCAATGAGACTTGAATAAGTGTTGGGATTTCGAATAAGTTTTCTCCAAACCATAATGAGTATGAGACGAGTCATGACGCTCGCTGGAGGCATAAATTTTCCGACACCAGAATCGGCCACTCCAGTGGCTTTAGGGTGGATCTCTGGTGTTGCATTGGAGCTCAGCTTGTTAGGCCCATTGGGCCCTTCTCCGACTTGTTCTTCTCCTTTCACTCCAATAAACTTGAAATCTTCTTCTCCACTAAGTTCCCCTAAAAACCCATCAATATTAAATAAAAATTATTCACAAAAATTATAAACTTTAAATAGTTATATTAATATCTTTAAAAAAATTAATTAATTAAACTATACAAAAAGAAAAATTATCAAAATATCGGTTAAAACAGTTCAGTTCAGTTGCAAGAACATTCTGTTACCATTTGAAAAGGAAGTAAAGAAATGAAACTGTTACCTTTGTTATTGATTTCACCATTTTGATTATGTTCATCAGCAACCACCATCCTGATCTCTTTAGCACCCTCTTCCGATTGTTCCGAATTTCGGAAGGCATTGAGACCGGCACTTTCCGAAACCGGCGAAGCACTTGAGCTCCACACAAACATGTGCAACTCCTTAGCATCCTGAGAGCCCTTTGTCTGCAATGAAACCTGTTGCTGCTGTGGCTGCTGCTGCATCAAATTTTGATTCTTCACAGTTTTCGCAGTAGAAGAGAATTCAGGATTCGGGGCAGGATACGAAGCAGGCGCACTCTGCGCCGGATAAAACCCAAATCTCGGGGAACTTGCGCCGTTTTCTTCGAAATTCGACGGTCTAGGAGTAGGTCCTCTAGAAGACTGTACAGAATACAAATCATTGTTACCAAAATTGGAATGTCTTGGTTGATAGCCCATCATGGAGTAAAACTCGGCGTGGTTGAAATTAGACCCTCTTGGGGTGGAACTGAGACTATAAATCTCAGCTCCAGTCAAATTTGACGGTCGCGGAGTACTCATCATGAATGATCTCCGCGACGCGTTAGATTTTCTCACAGTAACATGTAACTTCCCATCATCACCAACAGATGCATCAGTTTCAAGAAAATCCCTTCCGTCTAGCGAAACAACGTCAGAATCGACCTTAAACGAAACAATCGAAGCCGCGGTTTCTGGAAACTGTTCCATGATTAAAAGCTTCGCACCACGGTACTCAAACAGAAAAAGCAAAAGAGTGTACCATATGATACACTGAAGAACCACAACTTGAACCATTAACGTTCCTGAATAATCACCATACATGGCAATCAGAAGAGGAATTCCCATAACCAAAGTGTTTGGAAGTGTGGACAATGAGAAAATGGTTATCATCCATTCTAAGTTACCGTTTTTGGTAAACTTTGTCCATAGCGAAAGTGCGAAAAGCATGATGATTTTTTGAAGTGTGTCTGCTGCTATGAATCTGAAGTTCATTTGGTATGGATTATTGGATGAGATGAAATGGAAAGAGAGGAGAGGGACGGCGAAAACCGCGACGAAACGGTTTATGCCGGAGCATTGATCGGGTGAGAAGATCTTCCACCAACGGACAGAACCGTAGGCTAAGATCATAGCAACATATAATGGAACAACTGCTGTTAAGACAGTGTAGAGATCTTTGAATGTTATCATTTTTGTGGTTTTTGGTCAGTGAAGGTTCAGTGGCATGTGAGAAATGGGAAATTAATCGAAGAAAACGGTTATAGTTAGTTAAGTAGGAGTAGGAAGGAGATGTTTTTCAGTGATTGTCTGGTGGGTAGTGTACTTGTACAAGTACTAATGGTTTGTGAGATGATTAAGATGAGGTTTGGAAATAGAAGCTGTCAGAGAAAGTGAGAGTCAGTTTTGTAATCGTAGAGAACAAATGTGTGACTTGTATAGTGTGTGTAGGGTATATATATAAGCACATTCAAGAACAGATATCTTATGTATTTTGTTACCATTTTGTTGTTGATGTTGTTAAATTAAGATATATCTATAAGAAATACCTTTAACTATTTAATAATATTTTGATGAAATGTCAAGAGATTTTAGTCTTCTCTCGATCGTAGTTGTTGGAGATCGAAATCCTCTCTTTGATTACAGTTATGGAAATCGAACTGTGGTCATTGATATCAAGTATAACGTTAATCACTACTAGATCAATTAATAATTACTAATCCAAATTTAATTTTAAACATATAACACTCGTAAATCGCTTAAGAAATATTTAATTCAGTTTAAAAGATATTTGATTTATACCAAAAATAAATATTTAGTCTATAAATTTAGTTTTTTTTTTTAATATTTTATCATTTAAAAAAAATAATAGTGTAGGTTATTATCTGTTTACTATTTATTTCTATTTTAAAACAAAATTTAAAAATTATACTCAAAAAGATAGATATATTTTTAATTTTAATTATGAATTATGAGTCTGAATACAATCTTAAAATACAGTTATATTAAGACTTTTTTGAAGTAAACTAATCATTCAAATTGTGAATTTTCATAAGTTATGAAAGAATACATAGGTTTTAAGCCAATGAAGAAGAATGAAGGAACTAAAAGTTATTGATACACTGATTTTATATGGTCAATCAATCAAAATCATTATATTTAATTATATCACTTTTTTATTTTAAAATATTTTTAATGACATATCAGACTGTTTATTTTCTATTGAAGGACAATAAAACTATTTTATATTGTGAGTGCATATTTATTAAATCTTTAAACAAAATGCAGTGATTAAAAATTATAATTAAATATTTTTTATTTTAATTTGTTAGTTTGTTCCAATTTTATAATATTTATTTTATTTGAACTTACATAAATTTCTGTCTCATATTTATGTGTTATGTTCTTTTAAAACTCATATGGTATGTTATTATTATTTTATTAATTATGTAAGTACAAATGAAGTTATGCCTAAAATATATAGATAAAATTGGTGATTACTTTAAGGCATCCTTTATGTTTTGGTATAAATGATAATATAAGTAGATATGAGTTTACTCTGGTCTTATACATTTATTGTACTTTAAATAGATAACGTAAGTGCTTAACTTTTTATCTTAAAATTAATGTAAAATTAAGTGTAGCTTAATATAGGTTAGTTTGGTGAAGAGAGATAGGAGGGGACCATGGAAAGTGATCCCATGAGGTTGGGCCCATGGTACCCGTGTGAATTGGGTTAGGATGTGACCACATGCTATGGTTATGTTAACCTTACATTGGTTAAGATGCATGGAAAAGGTTGCTGTGTATGTATTTTGAGAATTGGGATTGGAGAACCTCTTGCTTCTTCTTTCTCTTTAAGTTTTAGCACTTTTTCAGTACAAAAAAAGTCCTTTTTTAGGATATGTAAATAAATCTTTTAGAAAGTTACGAGATTGATTTATATGGTAATGTGAAAATACTAGAACGGATTAATGTGCTTATAGAATAGTTTAATTTTACATATTGTATAATAGAAAATAAAATAACATAAAGGTAATTCTCAAGAATTTCACTTTAGATGACACATGATTTACAAATTATATGATATATAATTTTTCGGTATATTTATAAATATGGACAACGTTGCTTATTAAAGTTGAATTAAAATTCTATCTAAATTTTAAGATAGTATAAAGTTTATCTAAGATTAAAGTTGATTAGGGACTATCATACACTGTTATTATGTTACTCGAATTAATAAATATTATCATATTTCAATAGTAAGGGGTGTGTTAACAATTTTACATTATATGAGATATAGTCCGAACATATATTTATAAGTGGAAATAATAATTTTACAAGTTAATTTTTTAAGGTTGAATTAGGTTCAATTTAAATTTTAAGATGCTAAAAAAGTTTATCAGAGATTTGTGGACTACTTACTATTAGGTTACCGCTACGTGACCCCGATTACGGTCCACATGTCATGCACTAAGTGTTAGTGGTGTGTTAAGAGCCTTACATTGCATGTGATAAGTTTTTAACAAATATTTATAAGTGATTTAGACATCACCTTACAAGTTGATTATTTAAGGATGAGTTAGGTCAAATGTAAAAAGCTTAATATGATATCAGAACCTATCGGTTCGAATCACACATAATTTATATTCCCACATAAAAGCTAATTGTATTAGGTGTGAGGTGCTACATTAAAAAAACTCAAGTCTTACGTGGATTAAATTTGATGTCTAATTAGAATTTCCAACGAATGACATTCATCAACTTATAAGACAGTTTTGTAAGAGTGAAGACCTAACCCAATATTTTGAAATGAGCACGAGGGTTGTATTTTAGAAGTACGACATTTGATAAGATATGGGCTAACATAAGTTTATAAGTGGAGACAAATATCACCTTACAATCCAGTTTTATAAAGAGTGGGTAAGATTTAACCCATGCTCTAATATTTTACCAGAGCCTCTTAAAAATTTATTGGGAAACATGTTACTTGGTCATTGGCGAGTCACTCGAACCATCTTCTAGATGTCCAATCTTAGATATTATTGTGATAATTATAAGGTTCAATTCACATCAACGAATTTGATGTGCGAGGACAAAGAAGAGTAGCAACAAAAAATGGTCTTCGGCAATAATAATCAATAAGACAGTGAATTTTGCAAAATAAGATAAAGGAAAAATACCCTTTTTGTCCCTTAACTTTACCTCGGGATCAATTTTGGTCCCTTAACTTTTAAAATGTTCAAATTGATCCCTACCTATTAAAATCGTGGCAGATGAGTCATTTCCATATATTTCTTGCAAATGTTTATTTATGAGTTATGTGTGGCAGTTGACTTGGCATTCGAACTTCATCTTTGTTAAGTTGATTGAGTTCTACAGGTTGTGCATCTCAAAATCGAATTAGGGGTTAGGGATTTTTTTCTGAAATTGTTCACGATTTCCACAAATTGAAGGTAGGGTTGAAGCAGCCGTGAAATTCGATTGTTTTTCATCCTCCATGAAACAGAAAAGTTATGAAAGTTTGAACTCCAATGAGTTCACGAGTTTGAATCTTCTGTGGAAACTCTTTTTCCATTGTGGATACAAAGATATTCTTCGTAGGGCAATGACGGCCAAGAGTTATGCAAAACATTTTTGGGGTTGTCCTCATTTTAAGGTATGTATGTTTTATGTTAAAATTGATCATATGCTAATTTCAGTTTGAGCTTCCATATTTGAACTTCAATTTATATAAATTTCAAGGATCTTTGCAAGTTTGGTATGGATATTTTGAATGGTTGTATGAGGATGGCGAAGATGAGAAAGGGAAAATTATGATGTCTAGGTTAGAAAAGTTAGCAAAGAAAATTGATGATGCAAAAAATGGAGTTTGAAAATTCTAGGTTGACAAATGAAGAATTAAGGAAAGATTTGATTGAAATTCAAAGTCAAATAAACAAGATCTTGAAGTCGTTTTTTTTTTTGGAATGTGATTTGTTTTGTAATTTTGTCTGTACTAGTTTATTTTCATGTATTAAAAGTATGTACTGTCTTGGGGTGTAGCAACTGAATTCCATGTCTGAATCAGTTCAATGTTTTGGTATGTATCAATTGAATTTATTGGTATGACATCATTGTAATATACTCAATATTTTGGTATCTCTCTGTTTAATTTGATTCCTACTGGATTCTTTATATACAAGTTTCTAAATTTTAGTATTATACTGAAGTGACTTGTATACCAGTTTATACATCAGTTTATATTCTAGTTTATATACCAGTTTATAACCAGTTTCTAAATTTTGGCATTGTTTATATACCCATTTAATTTGACTCATACTGAAATAACTTATATCTAAATAAATTGAATTAACAGTAATACATAATTGATAATAACACAAAATTTACATTAATAGATAACCATGTTCAACAGGAATGTTCACAATACATTACATAATTGACAACATTCTAAAATGAAAGGTATAACCTTAAAAAAAAAGACAACATTCCAAAAGTGGCTTAAAATTAAACAGACAACATTCCAAAAGTGATTCAAAATACATGTAAAATATAAGATAAATGTTCTTATTTGGTGTGGTCCTATTTGTTGGAGTAGTCCCCCTTGTTGTTGGGCCAACTACATTCTTGGATACACTTAATCTAGTTGTAGGTCTAGGGGGTACAAATGGGGTTGATACCCTCTTAACACCCAACTTCTTTGGCTTTCTTAGTGTTGATTGTTGAATAGCATGTGAAGCATATATTTCTTGTGTTCCTTGAGTTCTTTGTGTTCCTATAGCTCTTGATGTTTGTGTTCCTTTCATTCCCCGTGCTCCTTGAAATCCTCTAGTTCTTGGTGTTTGAGTTCCTTGAGTTCTTGGTGCTTGATTTCCTTGAGTTGTTGGTGCAAGATGTTTAGAAACTTGAGATGTTTGTTGATAAGCTTGAGATGCATGTTAAGTAGCTTGAGCAGGATGTTGAGAAGCTTGAGTAGTTGGTCTCAACTTACAAGTTGATTTGTTGTTCCTTGACTGCTTCCACCTACTGCACTTGGCAAGTAACCATGTTCTCCTCATTTTTCTATCAATCCCATCAATCTCTCTTTGTTCAAGGTTCCTCTTCTTCTTTGGTCTACCTGACATTTTCTATACTTAGGAGGTTGCACATCTAGATATGGTGTCCTAACCTAGAGATTTGATCCATTTACAGGA